TAGGGAAAACACTTCATGCTAAAACATTTTTTACTATTTATTGTTGTTACGTGCTTGTGAGTGTACTATTTTTTAAAATATTTTTTATTTAAAAAATATATTAATAATATTTTTTTATTTTTTAAAAATTATTTTTAAAACTAACTCATAAAGTATATCAATAGTATATATTATAATTTTATATATTATTATAATATATTTTTGAAATTATTTTATGTTGAAAACACTTTACGTTGAAACATACTTTATTATAGCTGTAATTATTTTTTAAAGTTTTTTTTATTAAATAAAATATGTAAATAATATTTTATTTTTAAAATAAATAAATCAAAATAAAAAAAATATATATTAATTTAAAATAAAAAAAAAATAATTTTTTTTAAAATATTTTTAACACGCACCACCAGTTACATAGCCTTCTCTTGATCCTCCAGCAAAAAACTAAAGGCTTGCTGGTTTAGAAGCTGGAACAGCACAGTATTTTCTTGGAGCTCACCACTCACCGGTCATTACAAGTTTAATTAGGGGTATACATGGCTTTTTCCTATTTTGAATACAGAAAAATGACTTTAATAACCTCCAGGCTAGAAAAAGTAGTGTTGTTGATGAAAGGTACCTGGGTGTTTCGGTTTCTTCAAATACAATAAAAAGACATCTTTGCTTTTAGAGTCGGTTAAAAACAGGTCAATAGTCCAACGATCTTTTGGTTTTTTCACACAATTTTCTTGTTAATTTTTAAATCACAAAGGAGAATTTTAATTTTTTTAAAATGACTGGTTAATATTTAAATTTAAAAGGTTGTTAGTATATAAAATATTTTATTGTTATAATAATTATCTCTCTATCGTGTTGTTTAAAATACCATCACATTTTTTTAGCATGGTACATGTTGATAATAATCAATTAGTTTGTTGTTTGTTGAACTTTTATTTTATTTTATCTCCTTTTCTATTTAAATTACTAACCCATCTTATTATTGTTAACATTTTAACTTTAATTTTTATTTTTTTTATTTTTTTTGCACTGTTATAAAAGTTTTATATGTTTTTTATCTAGTCATTTAATTTCAAAGTATCATGTATTATTTTTTCAATTTAGTTTTTATTTTTTATTTTCAAATTTTCTCCTTAGCTTTTCTATAAATTTTTTTTATTGATTTTTAATTTTTTCATTTAATCTAGATTTATGATATATTGTTTTTCTCGGGTTGATTCTCATTTTTTATTTTTTTTCTCTCTCTTGCAGTTTTTCTTTTTAATTTAAGCCTCTTGTAAAAAATATATGATTGTCCTCTAGGTTTTTTTTAATCACGCACCCTTGTTTTTTTAATTAATATTTTTTATTTTAGATTATTTTATGTAATTTAATTTTTTTATAATTTTATCATTCAATATTTAATTCAATAAAAATTAAATTTTATATTTTTCCATATATATATTGCCTACAAATTCATCATTCTTTGTTTTTTTATAAAAAAAATATTTAATATTTAATTTTATCATTTAATATTTTTTATTGAATTTGTTTTTTTATCTTCTACATGGTCGATATCCGTCTTATAACTTTAATTATAAGTTTTGAAGGCTCACAACAACTAACTATGGTTTTTTTAAAAGATATTTTTTAAATTTTTATTATTTAATATTTATTTTTTAAAGAATTGTTCTTCATGTTTTTATTTTTATTTTTTTCACGTATATTTTTTTATGAGATTGGATATCATAATTATAGTTATCTTTTGATCAAACATCAATTTATTCAATTAACTATATATATAGATATTTTGATTTATAATTAAAAAAATTATATAAAAAATACAATTACAAAGCTCATATGTTGTTTTTTTCCACTTTTAAAAAATCTTACCCGCAGTGAAGCGCTCATATGCTATAAATGAAATGAATACGTAGAGGGACTGGAGTTTGTGTCTAGGTTTTTAACTATGTTGACTTTTTTGACATTTTTTCTGGGTGGTGTTTTCTCGGTCAGCACAGCCGATTGAGATTTGTCGCCGTATTTAATTAAAATCCACCCACTCAAATAAAAGTAGTAAAGTTCTTCTAAAAAAAGTTCACCGTCTTTAACCTTTTATTTAATGATTGGGTTGCGTGGTCAATGGTGAACGTAGGGATTCCTCAATACTACTGGTAATTGTAATTAGGTGGTACGCACGGTTCCGGTGGCGCGTGCTTGAAATAAATTAGTTAACTGAGACAAAATGAGGTGTCTTCTCATGTGGGCACGACCCAGCAGAGCAAATCATATTCGGCTTATAATATCACACGACTCCTTGTCAGTTTGTGAGGACATGCACGCGCTACTGAAAAGCGTCGGAAAGAGCTTTTCCTTTCCATGCGTGCCTTAATTTTGTTGTCTCTCTGATTTTGAGTGGCAAACAGGCTTGATAATGGGCTTGGTGTAGGCTTTGAACCTTTTTTTTTCCACTTGCGGTGGGTGTTTCGGCAACCAAACCCCTGCTCCAAAGTTGACTTGACCCTAAGAAATTGTCAAAGAGCATGTCGCTTGCTATCTGCATTGTTGGTAATAGCATAGCCAAGTATCATGTTGACCCAAGCCTGAAAGTGCAGCTTCTGAACAGTAAAAGCTGCTTTTGGTCCAAGCCAGCTGCTGTTGGGTGGCCATATGACAGCTACAACCTTCGATAAACTCTTTGCATCCAGGGGAAAAAGAATTGCAAAGATACCACAACATCACCACTATTCAAGTCTCTGATTATAAAAAAATAAAACTATGTATTCGAAGAATTTAATTTAATTTTATAGTATAAAAAATTGACTCCAGGATACTATCTCATCATCAAACTAAAGAAATAAAAGATGGGAGAGAAGAAACACCTTTCAACTCTACTGAATTCGATTGAAATAAATATTTGATGAATAAAATAAGTATTCAAGATAGACCTTTAAGGGGATGATTGATTTTATTTGTTGTATGAGGGTGTATAGTATAACTAGACACGTCATTCATTGTACACAAATGAGAATTATATTATTTTCATTGCTAGTTTTGATTACTGGGTTGTAATGTCAATTTATATTTCTAATGAATTCAAATACATTATTTTTTAATATATATAAAGTTATTTTAATTTTATTTTAATTTTTTTAATTTTAATGCAATCAAGCTTTAACCAGATTAAACTATTAAATCATTATATCTGAGCCAAATCTATACTAGAATTAATAATGTAGAATCTGACCGAATTGTTAAGTTAATATATACTATCGGGTAAACTCGTGTCTATCATTGTTATCTAAGATGAAATTATTTTATTTTTTTTGTATTTATTATTTTTTACTAGATTAGATTTTGAATGAGTTAACCTCTTGAGTTGCAATTTTTTGATAGAAATAATGTTAAAATTAATTTAAATTAAAACCTGGCACGAGTTGAATTTTAAATTTTGATTTGCTGTAGCTATACTTTAAATATAATTTTTTTTATAATTTTATTAAAATAATATATTTTTTATTTTTTAAATTTTATTTCTGACATAAAAAACTAAAATGATTTAAAAAAATAAAATAAATAATTTTTTAACCAGCCTTTATTATGGCACGGTACAAAATGGGGGGGGGGGATGGGGGGGGGTTAAAACTACTTGCTTGACACGCGAGTCGCGAAGGCCTGAGCTTCTTGGCAATGATGATCCACGAAGTGTAGGACAAATCAATGCGCCAGTGGCTGTGGTCTCTTTAATAATTTGAGAGTCATTTTCGTGTAGGTTTAAGTGTGTAATCTCTGCTTTATCCAACAACCGAAATTATTGACTCTTATGGCCTTGTCCTGGCTTCGTCGTGTCGTGTCTGT